ACCGAGCCCAGAAATTTAGATACTGTCTTGGTAAACTTATCAATCCTTTAAAGAAACTTATTATAAAAGGTTACAATTCAACACTGTAATTAAATCTTTAAATATTGTTTTTATCGGTATACATATTGATATTGTTATCAGTAAATTAAAACCACACTAAATATCATTGTTATACACATATGTACTTTCATGGTACAGTAAAACCGTTATAAACCAGCCGGCTTTGGGACTATGAAAAAGGGACAGTTTGGACAGTGAGTTGGTTTATTCAGGTTATCATATTGACAGGAAGTTATTGGCTTGTGATGTCAGATATTTTACATGTAATAGTTCTGTAAACTGTAAACCAATAAAATAAATACCGTAATAATCTATTAGAAGTTATGTCATGATTTATGTGAAAATATTGTGGCATGAAAATAACAAGTGTTCCATGCCTTTCATCAAATACTACGCATGATTGTGTCTGTGGTCAACATATTCATTGTCTTTAGGAATAATAAAATAATATGATAACGTTCTTTACATATCCTTGTATGTCAAATCGTCCACAGAAGCAGCAGTCACTGATTCGTTAGCTTCACTTTCATTTTGGATTCATTATTATCATTTGCATCAGAATCCTCGCATTGATTGAATTGTTCAACGAGATTTTCTTCTTAAATAATACTTCCATCGTTCATTTCCTACGTTGGTATATCAGATTAAAAAGCAAGAATTCTATCAAACCAAATTTTATCATGATCGAAACATTGTTATCACCATAAATTCGACAATGAAATGTCTTCATCTGGGTCTTCTCCATTAAAAGGGTCATCGGTTTCTGGGTTATACAACAGGGAACCCAGAATTTCGAAAACAAAATGTAAAATTGTCTATCCACGATTTAAAACTTGTAAGTTCTATCCTAGAAATATTTGGCGACGATGTATGCAATTGTTTTTTTTATAAAAACTTAATAGTGTTTCAATAAAAACAGCTCACTACTGGAATTTCACGGTTTAACACCTTGCTATTGATTATCCTAAAAAAAACTTCTTATGTAAACAATTTTGTTTTGATTACATATCGATCAATACTGTTATCATGTTAAATTAATTAAACAAACCAGTTTTGACAGGTAATAATTAATGTAATTAAGAGTATTGGGACAGCATAATTAGACCGGAAATTGGAATACACAGGGTCTGGTTTACAAAGGTTGTTTCTACAAAGATTTTGAAAGGAAAACAATGGGACTTTAATTTTCGGTCAAAATGACAGGAAACCGGTTTATTCAGGGTCTTGTTTACCCAGGTTTGACTGTACTACAATCTGTCGATACCTATATTTTGGCATTGCACAAGGTCATGTTTTCTCTGATTGTTAATGACGTCTTTACACTAAATCCATTGGATGTTGGATGTGTACTGATTGATATTTTAGTCTTAGATACATGATTTTTTTATTAGTTGTTATTGGCTTTGAACTTTGGCTGTCAGTAACTGTGAGTACTCTCAGATCTATGCTTAGTGTCTTTTTTGTTGTTAGGGATGAGGGATGGACAACTACCCTGCCATATCTTGTCTGTGTATTTGTTTGATGTTTTTCTGCTTTGTATCGATCTGCAGATGAGTTAAGCCTTTTTCTACTGATTTTTATAGATTGTTCTTATGTTGTGTTGTTACACCACTGTCCCAGGTTAGGGGAGGGTTGATTGCTCACAAACATGTTTAATCCCGCCACATTCTTTATGTGCCTGTCCCAAGTCAGGAGCCTGTAGTTCAGTGTTTGTCGTTGGTTCAAGTCTGTAATATTTGTTTTTCATAAATTCACTAAACTAAAACAGGTGTGTGTTTTTTTTCACATGTCGCGCCGTATCTCAAAAACAATTTATGATTATTGCTTAAAACTTTACACACTTCTTAGTTATATTAATCTTAAGATCTGTATACTTTTTGGTGATGATTTAAAATTTTATTTTAGAGATATTGAGTATTTTGTTAAAAAAGGGGAGGGATTTTTCACATGTCGCGCCATATCTCAAAAACAGTTTATGATTATTGCTTAAAACTTTACACACTTCTTAGTTATATTAACCTTAAGATCTGCATACTTTTTGGTGATGATTCAAAATTTTATTTTTGAGTTATTGAGTATTTTGTTAAAAAAGGGGGAGGGGTTTTTCACATGTCACGCCATATCTCAAAAACAGTTTATGATTATTGCTTAAAACTTTACACACTTCTTAGTTATATTAATCTTAAGATCTGTATACTTTTTGGTTTTGATTCATAATTTAATTTTTTGAGATATTGATTTATTTTTTTTTTAAAGGGGGGTTTTCACATGTCGCGCCGTATCTCAAAAACAATGTATGATTATTGCTTAAAATTTTACACACTTCTTAGTTATATTAATCTCAAGATCTGTATACTTTTTGGTTTTGATTCAAAATTTTATTTTAGAGATATTGAGTTTTTTGTAAAAAAAAAAAAGGGGGTTTTCGCATGTCACGCCGTATGTCAGAAACTATTTATGCTTATTGCATAAAAATTCACACACAAGACGACGGGCGTATCATGCGCACATGGCGCAGCTGTTTATTCCTTAAATATATTGACTAAATCTCAGATAAGATTGCAAGTATACTTTCAATGGCTGTTTTCACAGTATATGTGAAGGAAGTTCTTTTTTTGAGAATATTGATCTGTAATTTAAAAGAGGTAAAATTGGATGTGTCTACACACATGACATCAATTGGTATATTTGTAGTTCCTGCAAGTTTAAGTTTGCTGCAAACTTGCAGCAGAAAAAATAACTTGAAGTAAAAAGTTTGCAGCAAGTTTGCAGCAAATCTAATTTGCATAATTACCAATATGTTTGCTGCAAACTTACCACAAGCTTCATTTGCATGGTAAAATGGTTGCAGCAATGTTTGCTGCTAGTTTGCCACAAGGCTTTTTTTTCAGTAATGTCAAAATTGGGGAACAGCAGTCAACATTGTGTTTTAATCTGAATCACTATAAAACAAATAACTATTTCAACAAAGAAAAACAAAATAGCATAGAGACACTCTATAAACAAAGTACATAAGAAAAAATGAAAAACAGGAATACAAAAATTACCATAGCACAATAACACAATGGCGGGAAATGTATTTTTATTTGGATTTCATTATCTTTCTTTTTTCTATAAACCCTTAATCCACCTCTTTTTGCATAACTGTAATTTTTATAGCTGGTCAGTGGTCAAAAAACTATGATTCTATTGATTAACCACAAAGTACTGCTGTTCTTATCTTGTATCTGTCAGACTTATGCATTTGTTTATTAAACTAATTTATCACCAAAACTCATTAACAGTTCAAGATATGGAAACATATTTTCTTCTGTGGTTTTGTTATATTAAGAAGTAACAAAAACAGCTGAAAATGAAATTTTGATAAAATTTAGTTGCTATTGTATTGTGCTACCTTAAGTCTTTTGATCCTTCAAATTTAACAAAAAAAGATAGCAGTGACTATATAGTGTTATTTTGTGAAAATGCTTTGATAGTAAATTGTATTTTTTGCAGAAAAAATTTTATACTCATGCAAATAGAACTGACAGTATAAATGACAATGAACTTGCAGACTTCATCAAATCAATGGTATGTTTATTTAAGTTATTTTCATTTTATATATAAAATAGACTTTGCTTAGCCAGGTTTCAAATGTACTTTCATAAACTGTTGAATTTTGAGGTTTTATTTGGATATTACATTGGACAATAGTATGCTTGCTTTTTTAAATTAAAAACCAGGAGTAATCTCAGGTGCTTAGGAAGGGTTAGCAGATCCTGCTCCACATGTGACACCCTTCGTGTTACTCCTTTAAATTATCTTGCCAAGTAATATTAAGTGATAACACAATAGAGGATTGATGATTGATTCTTATCTAACCCTAAGACCTCACCAAATTTGTAAACCATCGGCGATGTAAATTTTCTAAGCCTGAAACTTGACCAAGTGTGAAATTTTGTAATTCAAACTTTTTTCATGACAAAGAATATACAAGACTATATTACCTGTATAAGGAACACAGAAATACAGGTGAGCGACACAGGCTCTTGAGAGCCTCTAGTTACATTTTGAACTTCTTATAGAGAACCACTGAATGGAATGGAACCAAACATGGCATGAATGTTCCTTATGAGGTGCTGACCAAGTGTTGTTACTTTGTAGCCGATCCATCTTCCAAGATGGCCGCCAGCCGGGGACATGGTTTAACATAGGACCATAATGGACAATATATACAAATGTCTTCTTTTAGAGAACCACTGAATGGAATGAAACCAAACATGGCATGAATGTTCCTTATGAGGTGCTGACCAAGTGTTGTTACTTTGTAACATATCCATCATCCAAGATGGCCGCCAGATGGGGACTTAGTTTAACATAGGACCCTATGGGAAATACATACAAATGTCTTCTTTTAGAGAACCACTGAATGGAATGAAATAAAACATGACATGAATGTTCCTTATGAGGTGCTGACAAAGTGTTGTAACTTTGTAGCCGATCCATCATCCAGGAAATACATTCAAATGTTTTCTTTTAGAGAACCACTGAATGGAATAAAACCAAACATGGCATAAATGTTCCTAATGAGGTGCTGGTCAAGTGTTGTTACTTTGTAGCCAATCAATCAACCAAGATGGCTGCCAACTGGGGACTTAGTTTAACAAAGGACCCTATGGGAAATATATACAAATGTCTTCTTCTAGAAAACCATTTATTAAACTAATTTATCACCAAAACTCATTAACAGTTCAAGATATGGAAACATATTTTCTTCTGTGGTTTTGTTATATTAAGAAGTAACAAAAACAGCTGAAAATGAAATTTTGATAAAATTTAGTTGCTATTGTATTGTGCTACCTTAAGTCTTTTGATCCTTCAAATTTAACAAAAAAAGATAGCAGTGACTATATAGTGTTATTTTGTGAAAATGCTTTGATAGTAAATTGTATTTTTTGCAGAAAAAATTTTATACTCATGCAAATAGAACTGACAGTATAAATGACAATGAACTTGCAGACTTCATCAAATCAATGGTATGTTTATTTAAGTTATTTTCATTTTATATATAAAATAGACTTTGCTTAGCCAGGTTTCAAATGTACTTTCATAAACTGTTGAATTTTGAGGTTTTATTTGGATATTACATTGGACAATAGTATGCTTGCTTTTTTAAATTAAAAACCAGGAGTAATCTCAGGTGCTTAGGAAGGGTTAGCAGATCCTGCTCCACATGTGACACCCTTCGTGTTACTCCTTTAAATTATCTTGCCAAGTAATATTAAGTGATAACACAATAGAGGATTGATGATTGATTCTTATCTAACCCTAAGACCTCACCAAATTTGTAAACCATCGGCGATGTAAATTTTCTAAGCCTGAAACTTGACCAAGTGTGAAATTTTGTAATTCAAACTTTTTTCATGACAAAGAATATACAAGACTATATTACCTGTATAAGGAACACAGAAATACAGGTGAGCGACACAGGCTCTTGAGAGCCTCTAGTTACATTTTGAACTTCTTATAGAGAACCACTGAATGGAATGGAACCAAACATGGCATGAATGTTCCTTATGAGGTGCTGACCAAGTGTTGTTACTTTGTAGCCGATCCATCTTCCAAGATGGCCGCCAGCCGGGGACATGGTTTAACATAGGACCATAATGGACAATATATACAAATGTCTTCTTTTAGAGAACCACTGAATGGAATGAAACCAAACATGGCATGAATGTTCCTTATGAGGTGCTGACCAAGTGTTGTTACTTTGTAACATATCCATCATCCAAGATGGCCGCCAGATGGGGACTTAGTTTAACATAGGACCCTATGGGAAATACATACAAATGTCTTCTTTTAGAGAACCACTGAATGGAATGAAATAAAACATGACATGAATGTTCCTTATGAGGTGCTGACAAAGTGTTGTAACTTTGTAGCCGATCCATCATCCAGGAAATACATTCAAATGTTTTCTTTTAGAGAACCACTGAATGGAATAAAACCAAACATGGCATAAATGTTCCTAATGAGGTGCTGGTCAAGTGTTGTTACTTTGTAGCCAATCAATCAACCAAGATGGCTGCCAACTGGGGACTTAGTTTAACAAAGGACCCTATGGGAAATATATACAAATGTCTTCTTCTAGAAAACCATTTAATGGATTGAAACCAAACATGGTATGAATGTTTCTTTTGAGGTGATGACCAAGTGTTGTTACTTTGTAGCTGATTTGTCATCCAAGATGGCTGCCAGCAGGGGGAGTAAGTTTAACATAGGACCCTATGGGAAATACATACAAATGTTTTCTTCGAGAGAACCACTGAATAGAATGAAACCAAACATGGCATGAATGTTCCTAATGAGGTGCTGACCATGTGTTTTTACTTTGTAGCAGAACCATCATCCAAGATGGCTGCCATCAGGGGACTTAGTTTAACATAAGACCCTATGGGAAATACATACAAATGCTTCTTCTAGAGGAGCACTCAATGGAATGAAACCAAACATGGCATAAATGTTCCTTATGAGGTGCTGATGAAGACCTTAATACATGTATCTTTATAGATTGAGATCTGCTGTAAACTGCAAAAATATCAAGAAAAGAAGATCTACACATTAGTCAACATGAGCAAACTTGTCAATTGACATCTTGTTGGAGTTATTGTTCTTATAAAGTCATTTTCTACAATTTCAATGAATTTATTGGTAATTTCTGTAAACTTTACAAAAGTCTTCCGCTTTTGATTAAATTACGAGGCCAATATGAAACCAAATTTGGCCTCAATCATTATTAGGGTATCTGTTATGATTTTAATTTGTTTTTACATGATTTACAAAACCAAAGTAGAATCAAGTGAGCGACACAGGCTCTTGAGAGCCTCTAGTTTTATTCACAGCAGATTTTGTAAACTTTTCGTGAATATATAATACAAAAATATACTATAGGTACAATACCTATTTCATGTATTGATTATAGATTTTTTTTTAAATTTTGTGTTCGATCAGTACAAAATGGACTTTGACAATAATGAGAAAAAGAACACAGGTCAAGACATGAAGAAAATATATAACACAATGAAATGCGTAAAACAGACATCCAGAGTTACATCAATGATCTTCAATACTGTTGAAAACCCGCATCATACAGCAAGCTCTGAACAGCACTGACAAAAGAAAAGATCAAATCCAAGAGGCAGGCGCAGCATAATATTGTTAACTAAAAGGACATACCATATTCCAAAATATTCTGGACCCATACCTGCCAACCCTCTTGTTTTGAGCGGGAGACTCCCGCTCAAATGGCGATATTCGGGAAATCTCCCGCTTGCCGGTACCCTCCTGCGCGGGAGTATAAAATCTCCCGCTTTTGGATATTTTAACCTTGAATGACAAGTCAACATTAATTACGTTTTTGTGTCACTGATGAGGGTTGTTTTTACCTGTAAATCACAGACCATGTGAAATTAAATGGCTTCACTTGACAGCTATGGTGTCAAACATAGTACTAATTAACGATCATTAACGACTTTTGCTTCAAGCTTTGTGTTATTAAAAACACTTCAAAGAAATTTCGGGTTACTTCCCCTGTTTAATCCTGTTTTAAGTTACCCTTCTTAAAATAATGTGAATTGATAAAACAATATAAACTAAATACAAATTAAACAAAGAATCATAAAAGGATGGCAATTAAAAGATTTTGTATGCCTTAAGACAAAAAAAATAATTATATATTTTAAAAATCATTTAAAAGATCTATACTTCTTTTCAATGTTTATATTGAAATTTGTAAGATATGTATTGAACCAAATTTCGTGAAATATAAATATGCACACACTTAATGCACCATCTGTGACAACATGATTGCACTCTAATAACAGAGGTATATGGGTGAAAAGTTGTCCTGATGGGATTCAAATGTCAAAGATGATGAAATAGGAAAGAAACAAACAACACACCTTCTGTAAGATATATCCATATCTAAAGAAACAAAGTATATCTTTTAACTCTTATATGTGTTTCATGGATGAATAAATAAACACGTCATATATTTCACTTGAAAATGTTGTTCTTGCAAAATCTCCCCCTCAGCTGTCATAGATGAGAGGGAGATCTCCCTCTTTGAAGGTTTCAGAGGTTGGCAGGTATGCTGGACCTGAAACACTTGTATAACACATGCCACAGCGTTTTACTAATTTAATTGGATCCAAAACACCCCCCAATGTTTGTTGAGAGATGAAATGAAATAGACCATAGTAAAAACGAAAAGATAGAAAACTGAAGTAAGGATGAAGAAAAAAGGAAATCTAGAAAAAAAAAACTCATTCGTGACAATTTGAAAATCTGGGGTCTATGGGAGGAGGTTCAGTTTTCCATGGTAGGGGAGGGGTTTAATTTTCCATGGATGAGTAAAAATGTTTAAAAATCTTTTTTATCAAGTTTTATTCCTACCAAGTACATGTACTTATAAATGCATTATTACTATATAACATAGTTTGAATAGCTATGACAATTTGAAAATCTGGGGTCTATAGGAGGGGGTTCAGTTTTCTATGGTAGGGGGTTCAATTTTCCATGGCTGAGTAAAAATGTTTAAAAAATTTTTTTATCATGTTTTTTTCCTACCAAGTACTTGTTAATGCATTAAAACTGTATAACATAGCTGGAATAGCTATGAAAATTTTAAAATCTCAGGACAATAGGGGTGTCCAGTTTTCCATGGTTGAGGGTTCAATTTTTCATGGCTGAGTAAACATTTTTATACGACCACAAAAAATTTTTTGTGTCGTATAATGCTATCATGTCGTCCTCTGCGTCGTCCAAGGACGCATTTAGTTTCCGGACAATAACTTTAGTTGAATTTTGGTGGCGTCACTTTAACCGTTCTAGAGTTATGCCCCTTTATATATGGAAAATTGCAAAATTTTTATTTTCTTCTAAATATCAAGTAATTTTTATACGACCGCAAAAAAATTTTGCGTTCATATATTGGTATGACGTTGGCATCGTCGTCCAAAGACACATTGGTTGTTGCACTCTAACTTTAGTTTAAGTGAATGGATCTCTATGAAATTTTACCATAAGGTTCAATACCACAAAATGAAGGTTGGGATTGAATTTGAGGGTTATGGTACCAACAGTTAAGGAAGTAGGGGCCAAAAAATAGGCATTTTTGTAACTTCCAGACAATAACTTGTGTGTTAGTGTATGGATCTCTCTGACATTGTACCACAAGGTTCCATATCACAAAGGGAATGCTGGGATTGATTTTGGTGGTAATTGTCCTCAAAATTTTAGGAATTAGGGGCCAAAAAAGGGGCAAAAAACAAGCATTTTTCTAGTTTCATGACAATAACTTGTGTGTAAAATTTGGGGGGGGGGGATTTTTTTTTTTTTTTCCTTTTTTAGCTCACCAGGCCCAAAGGGCCACGTGAGCTTTTCTCATCACTTGGCGTCCGTTGTCCGTAAGCTTTTACAAAAATCTTCTCCTGAAACTACTGGGCCAAATTTGACCAAACTTGGCCACAATCATTATTGGGGTATCTAGTTTAACAAATGTGTCCGTTGACCCGGCCAACCAACCAAGATGGCCACCATGGCTTAAAATAGAACATAGGGGTAAAATGTAGATTTTGGCTTATATCTCTGAAACCAAAGCATTTAGAGCAAATCTGACATGAGGTAAAATTGTTAATCAGGTCAAGATCTATCTGCCCTGAAATTTTCAGATGAATCTGACAACCTGTTGTTGGGTTGCTGCCCCTGAATTGGTAATTTTAAGGAAATTTTGCCGTTTTTGGTTATTATCTTGAATATTATTGTAGATAGAGATAAACTGTAAACAGCAATAATGTTCAGCAAAGTAAGATCTACTAATAAGTCAACTTGACCAAAATGGTCAGTTGACTCCTTAAGGAGTTATTGCCCTTTATAGTCAATTTTTAACCATTTTTCGTAAATTTTTGTTATCTTTTACAAAAATCTTCTCCTCTGAAACTACTAAGACAAATTTAACCAAACTTGTCCACAATCA